CCTATTGTTAACATCTTACATTATTATGGTACATTTGTCACAACTGGGGAACCAACATTGGGACATTACTATTAACTGAGCAACACACTTTATTCAGATTTCACTAGTTTTTCCCTAATGTTCTTTACCTTTTTCAGGATCCCATCTAAGATACCATATTACATTTAGTTGACACGTCTTCTTAGCCTCTTCTAGTGTGTGACAGTTTCTCAGACTTTCCCTGTTTTTGATGACCCTGACAGTTTTGAGAAGTACTGGTCAGGTGTTTTATAGAATGTCCTTCATTTTGGGTTTGTTTAATGTTTTTCTCATGGTTAGACTGGGGTCATGGATTTTGGAAGGAAGACCACAGAGGTGAAGTGCATTCTCATCACATCATATCAAGGGTACATGCTATCAACATAACTAATCACTGATGATGTTAACCTTGATCACTTGACAAAGGTAGTGTTTGTCAGGTTTCTTAACTATAAAGTAACTTTTCCCTCCTTCCATAATCTACTTTCAGGAAGCAAGTCATAAGCACAGACTATAAACAAGGGGTGGAAAGCTAAGCTCCACTTCCTGGAAGGGGTAATATCTACATAAATTATTTGAAATTCCTCTGTACAGGACCCATTCTCTTTTAAACCTACTCCATCAAGAGTTTACTACCATCATTCTATTAAAAGTGCTCTTATTGAGGTCACCAACTTACTCCAAGTTGCTAAATCCAATGGTAATTCTTAATCTGCATCTCACCTGATGTATCAGCAGTATTTGTCATAGTTGACCACGCCTCCCTTCTTGATATACTTTCTTCACTTGGCTTCCAGGTGAACCTACTCTCTCGTTTCTCCTGTTTGTTTTGTTTTGTTTTTTCCTACTTCCCTAGTGGCTCCTTCCCAATCTCTTTTGTGAGTTCCTCTTTTCTCCTGACTTCTTAATAAGCCCAAGGGTTCAGTCCTTCATCTTCTTCTCTTCTCTATCTTTCCAAATTCCCTTAGTAATATTATCCAGTCAGGTGGTTATAAATATTATTTATATGCTTCCAAATTTTTATCTCCAGGCCAAATCTCTTTCTCAAACTCCAAACTCATATATACAACTGCTTACTCAATATCTCAATCTGTATGTCTAATAAACACTACAACTTTAATATGTCCAAAACCAAACACCCAATACTCCGCCACCCCAAATTTTGCTCTACCTTAAGTTTTTGCCATCATAGTTCATGGTATATATAGCCTTCTAGGTGCTCAAATCAAAAAATCTTAGAGTTATCTTCAATTCCTCACTTTCTCGCTTCCTTTACACCCAATCATCAGGAAAGCATGCTGGCTCTACACTCCAAATCTGATCAGTTGCCACCACCTCCATGGCTCCCACCCCAGCTTCCATCAAATCTCACTGGATTATTGTCATAGCCTCCTACTGTTCTCCCTGTTTACACCCTACAGTCAATGTGATCCTTTTGAAATATGTCACAGCATGTCACTGATCAAAATCCTACAATGGCTCCCCATTTCACTGAAAATAAAAGGCACACACTTTAGAGTGGCCTACCATGAACTTCTGGTACCTCTCTAATCTAATTTCCTGCTTCTCTTTCCCTTGCTCACTCCACTCCAGCTACCAAAACTTCCTTATTATTCCCTGACCTTGCCAATAACTTAACTACCCTGAGATCTTTGCTCTAGTTCTAATCTCTGCCAAGAATTTCTTTCACCTTCAATGATAACTCACCATCAAGATCTTTTTAATAAGACCAACCTTGAACCTCCACCAGACTTCTAATTTCCTTAACCCAGGTTCTTTCTCTTCTCTCCATAGCATTCACCACCTTTTATCACATAAATGATTTGCTTATTTATTTTGTTTATTATATGTTTTCTGCCACTAGAATGTAAGCAAGGATCTCTTTTGTTGTTCTTGTTGTTGTTCACTTATTTATCCTTAGGGCTCAGATCAGTGCCTGTCACGTAGTAGGCATTCAATAAATATTGTAAAGTTAATAAACAAATTATTTACCTTAACAGGACATCTTGTTCTTATCTTCTGACTTCTCTTAGTTGAAAAACCCCATCTCTGTACCAGACCTGACAATCACTGCTTAACTGCCCAGACCTCTTTCTTAAATAATAATAGGTAATATGCATTGAGTTTTTACTATGTACCAGGCACTGTTCTAAGCACTTTACATGTTGATTTAATCCTCACAACAATCCTATGAAATATATGCTATTATTTTCCCCATTTTACACATAGAGCCAAGTAATTTGCCCAAGAACACATTGATTAAGGGGAGAGCTAGAATTGGAACCCAGGCAGCCTGCTTTAGAACATACATTCTCAACCACTGCTCAACTGCCCTCTTCCCACAGCCCTAGGAAAACAGCTGTACCTGCTGACTGAACTAGGGACAATCACTTAGGGTCTGAGAGAGCAAGGCATTCAAGTTACAGTAGGTGCAAGAACTGAAAGGTAATGTTGAGTTGGCTCAACATGGGGAAGCAAAGAACCCATGAGAAAAGCAAGAAAGCCAGTGTATACAGAGAAAAAGATAAAAGGATGGACAGAAAAAAGAAGAGATAAGATACCATGTAACCTCCAAACAAGACAGGCAGACAGACAGACATTAGCTTATAATCCTAAAAGAATTGTCTGACAACCTGAAATAGGATTCTGTGAGTTATGTGTGCTTAGAATACTTCTATTGTTTGAGTGGATATCTGCTCACTGTCATAAAACCATCTCTAACTAGAACAATTTCCATGTTACTAGGGACCTCCTATAAAATCTCTTTCTTTGTTATGATGATATAAATAAATCAATATGAAAGTCAGTACATTATAGTAAAAGTGAGTAAGTTTGGGAAAAAACAACCTGGACTTAGGTCTCATTTCTATCACTTTACTAGCTGTATGACCTTGGTCAATCTCTCCGAATTTTACTTATGCCTTCTATAAAATGGAGATAATAACACACGCCCAACCTGTTTCAAATGTTTTGTACTAAATGAGATGGTATATGTGAATAGACTTTGAATATAAATTGCTCCATGAATGTTGCCTAGTATGATGATGATTCCAGATGTAAACTCACTGTACTTACCTGTAAAGGGATATAATGTCTTCTCTTTCCAAATGTGAGTAATTAATTATTCAAAAATTTACTGGTTGGTGATGAAAAAGTTACTGGGTGTGTCGATACATGCACCCACCACCATAATAGTCAAAATAATAAATGTGTGTGAACGTTCCTTCATTCACATGCAAAGATATTGATAATGAAAGTACATTTGCCTAAAAAGATCCAATGACTTAGGAATAACATTTAGCATTCATTGAAATGTTGCCAAGAATTATGATATAGTTCTTCTTTGATAAGTTCCTACTGCTTCTTCCTCTCATTACCTGATTTGTACAGTGCCCTTGAAAAGAACAATGGAGTCAGGAAAACCGAAGAACTAAGGAGTTAGGTCTTTCTCTTAAGGTGTCCCAGTAAATCAATGGCACAGCCACAACTAAACTGAAAAGTTTTCTGAGGCCAAAGTTGTCTCTATTACACCATCTTCCTGCTATGCTACTTGTTTAAAATGGCTTTCTAAGAGACTGCTAAATCGAACGGCATAAAAAGAATTATATCAAGAGTTATAATGTAGAAATAGTTCACAAAATATATAACAAACTTCCTGTCCTGCTTGGGATTCAGAAAAGGAAAATAGTACAATCTAACAAAAGCAGGAGGATTTCCTAATTTTCACTCCAACTTTCCTTTTTGGTAGCCTTCCTGATTATGAAAAGAAGTTAGCCTATTCTCAGACACATAAAGGCAACACCTAATATTTCTATACCAGGCAATAAAAAGGAAGCCCTATAAAATGAGGGGACTGTCCTAAATAATGTAAAATGTGACTTTCAATTGTAAAAAAAAATGTTTGTTATAAATAGAACTCAATCACTGCCAATGTCCCAAATTATAACATAATATTTTAAAATCTTAACACAGGAAAAGAAACAATCGCTCCAAAATCAGAAGTAGATGTTCACCTGGCTTCCAGCTGTCTTTCCCTATGGGTCAGTATCATTAACCATTTGCTGATTGTCACTATAATCCTTGATCGTGTATCTCTGAAAATATCAATTTCTCCTAGAGCAACTGACTTTCCAAGTACACTGCCTCTACAGGTAAAACAACTGGCCAAAAGCCTTTCCTTTTCCCTGTGAAAAAAGTTCCTCCAAGTTCTCACTTTTGGCACTATAATTTCCATAAAAGGCCAGGCTAAGGCTCCCATGCAATCCTCGGTTTCCAAGAAAAAGAAAACTTCACATCTTTCTAAATTTTAGGACTGTGCGCCAATGCACCAAATCTTCAGTCTGCCAAGATACTGTTCTCAACATATGTACAATATCCCTCCTCCCTTTGTGAGACTGTGTAAGCTTCCACGGGAACGTGATTGCCTTTCTTTCACATTTCCTCAATCCCAAATGCACAGATTTATGTGCTGATAAAGAGTAATTTACCATTCATACACATGACATATCTCAAAAACAAAAGCTGAGTCTAACACTTACCAAGGACTAGGAGTGCCAATACCCCTGGCATCAATGATTTATGCAGGCAAATTGCAATTTCATGTCGTATGTTGTATTTGAACTGCCATTCATTTGGATAGGAACCTGATGTTGACTACATTCTCCAACCAACAATTTTTTTTATATATAATTGATAGCAAATAATACAAATTTATCCCAACAACTTCAGAAAGTAAAACTAGTTAAGCTAGTGAAAACAAAGAGACAGAGAAAAAAAGTGACTTTTCCAAAAAAATAATGGATTTCTCCAAGGTGATCAAAGAAAAAAACAAGGGATTTATTTTGCATTTTCACCAATAGGAGCCCATCAGGAAGAACACAATGGATTATACAGAAAGTTATAACTAATTCACAAACAAGCCCCAGAGGTTAGGACGTCTGTTCACATATTGCCTTGGCTGCCTCCATCAAGAGCAGTTTTACCTCAGTAAGTCCAATATTCTTCCTTTTAATGACATTCTGCAGAGCGTTGCTCAGAGTCCTGGTTAGCAACAGGTTTGTAGATTTACGAATCATGTCATCAACTTCAGTTGAGCTGAAAAAGAGGTGTCAAGAGTCAGTCATACCAGGTAGCAGAATTATTCTGCAAAAAAACAAGGTGCCAGTGGCACTTTAATAATAATAATAATAATAATAATAATAATGGCAGCAGCAAATAACATTTATTGTGTGCCAGAAATTATTCTAAGTACTTTAATGTATTAAAATTCATTTAACCTTCACAATAACCATAGGAAGTAGTTTTATTATTATCTCCACAGATGAAGAAATGAAGGCATAGAGAAGTTAAGTAACTTGCTCAAAGTCACACAGTGAGTGCACACCAAAAACAGGATTGTAACACAGGCAGTCTAGCTCTAAAGCCTACAGCATTTAAACACAATGCTGTACTGTCTCTCAGGGCAGATAAAGAGTTCCCCAGCATGATGCCTCATCCTGAAACCATCACTCCTCTCATACTTCCAAATTCCTTCAGAGACTGTTAATATTTATAATTTTCTAACCTGGTCTCTCTGTAGATTTCCTGCACAATTAGCTGATAAAGGTCCCTAAAAAAAGACATCTCTGCTCCGATAGCACCATCTTTCATACAATGTCTATTTAGCTCTCATTTGAAAATAAATATTTCAAGCCAGTAGTTTAATTCTGCATAAATATTTTATAATTCTTACTATCCCAAAAGTGATCAATAATGACATTTTCTATTCAGTAAAGGAAACTAAACATGAAGAAAATGATTCAATAGCTATCTTTATATGTAAGGTTTAAAAGAGAATACAACAGTCTTGCAACCAACAGACTGAATTCTAGACCTATAACATCCTTCATAAGCCCCTGAAAGCATCACTCAAGATGCCTTTCTATAAAAGATATCCTTTTGAGAAAAACATTTCTTCAACGATAAGGTTACTATTGTAACAACACTTGTTTATAAACATCAAGAAATAACTACAAATAAAAATTTGTGAGCAGTTATTTGTTAATAATTTATCGCTATGTACAATGTTCACAACTTTTACCTCACTGATTTCTTTTTTTACAGAAGAAAATCAGAGGCTTAGTACAGTCAGACTAAAAATCTTACAATTCTTTATATACAGGCAAGCTACATTATCATACTATGTGGAAAAGAGAAAAATATTAGAAAGAAATAAGACTACAGAATGTGAGGCCATAATCAGTTAGGAAAAAAATGATACATCAAAATATTTTTACAAGGTCCACATAAGGATATATTTAACTGACCAAAACCCTCTGGCCCACTGCCACCCTTTCCAAAATTATTATTGAATTAAAATACTTCATTCCACAAATAAATAAAGTGCTAGGCATTGTGTTGGTGAAATACTGAGATCACAGCAGTGAACAAAATAGTCATGGTTCCTGTCTTCATATATTAAATTCATAATTACATCATATCAATTTTATTATGAACTACAAATAAGTACAGGTTGCTATAAAAGTGATTAACACAGGTGCCTGAAATAATCTGGTGCTCCTGACTGTAATCACCCTCATGGCATTCTGTACTTATTACATATCTCCCTTATGCCTTAAGAAGCTCTAGCAAAAGTTCCACTTTTGGATACAATGTAGAAGATCAAGAAAGACCATCACTACCTTCAAAACAACAAGAAAGCTAGGTCCAAGCTAAAAGCTATATTTTCCTTTTATGTCAACAAAGTGCAATGAACACAAAAAATATAGAACTGAACTAAACTGCACACTGGGACAAGTCCTTGAAAGATAAACAAAGAGTAGCAGCCTCTCTCATATCTGAAGCCAACTGCCTAATCTGGGTACAGATGGATGACGGAGTGGAAGAGTCACAGGCTGGGAGGCTTTGCCGGGAGGAAGAGAAATCAGCCAAACCCTTAATAGTGTGTGCTGCTGTTTCAGATTGGAATTTGGAAGAGCTCTCAAACAAAGACAAATACACTGACCCAACCATTCCCTCCTATAAGAATTCTGCTGCATAAGAAACGGTAAGGGCAGTACTAAAAATCAGAAAGAGATCTTGCAAATTTTCCAAGGGGTTTAGATTCCAGGGATCTACCGAAGTTCAATCCCAAGGAGAGCAAAAACAAATCACAGCTGACACCCAGCCCTGCTCAAATCCTGTTAAGATCAGACATAAGCTCCTGGATGGAAGTTTTGGAATTTCAGAGTTGGTCTTAAGGACAAAGAGACTTCTGCAACAGCATTTGAAATCAGAAGTACTTGGCAACTAATTAAAACTGAGACTTTACATTCACTGAAGTAATGATGAAATCTGAATGATCTATCAAGCAGCTGAAGAAGAAGAGTCACAGAAGAAGAAGAAAAGATGAGAAAGGAGACATATTTAAGGACATACTGGCAAAGTCATCTCCAAATCTGATAAAAGATCTCAATTAACAGATCCAAGAAGTTTAGCACAGCCCAAACAGAACTAATACAAATAAAACCACACCTAGGAACATCACAAATCAAATTGTCAAGTTCAAAAGTAAAGAGAAAATCTTAAAAACAACCAGAGAAAAAAGACAATATATTCAGAGCAACAACAATAAGGATGATGGCTTATTTTTCTTCAGAAACAATAGAAGCAGACAGTGGAATGACACCTTTAAAGTGTGAGGAAAGGGAGACTATCAACCTAGAATTCTATATCTTGAAAAATATATTTTGAAAACAAAAGTCAAAAAATATTTTCAGACAAAGAAAAGTTAAGAAAATACAACATCAGCAGATATATACTAAAAGAAATGCTAAAAGAAATTCTTCATGCTAAAGGAAAACGATACCAAAGTGTGTAAACTAGATCTGCAGGAAAAAATGAGAAGGCCTGAAAATGTCAAATACATAGTAAATATAAAGAACTACTTTTTTTTATTGAATTTTAAAATACCATCAAATGTTCAAAGCACAAACAACATATTTTAGGGTTTAAAAACAGGTGTATATGTGAAATATATGCCAACACTATCAAAAAAGGGAGTTAGAAGATAAATTACATTATACTTTTGTAAGATTCTTAAATTATGTAAAGTGATATAATATTATTCAAGGTAAACTGTGATAAGCTAATGATGTACACTGTAATCCCCAGAGCAACCACACAAACAGTAAATAAAACAAAAAGTTATACTCAAGTAAGCCAATAGTAAGAAGAAGTCATAATACTATAAAAAGACTTAATCGAGAAGAAGGAAGGAAAACAGAAAAAAAGGAGCAAAAAAAATGAATGGAATAAGTAGAAAAACAATAGCAAGATGGAAGGCTTAAATAAAACCATATCACTAAATATATTAATGTAATGGAATAAACACTCCAATTAGGCAGATTGCATAAAAAAACAATACTCAACTATTTGTTGATTCAAAAATGACAATTTTAAATATAAGGACACATGCCCAGATCTTATTTTCAAGATATCTCTCAGCACTAAAAGGTACTGGGTTCCTCAGAGAAATTAATGATATCATGGTTAAGTAAGGAAATCTTCCAAAAAGTGATAGGAGTACATCAACAAGGTAAAGGAGCCAGTTTGAAGTGGCTCAAGTGTGAGCTGCATCTGGGACAATTTGAGCATTTAAACGAATATAGACAGTAAAGGAATGAACCAACTGAATGAAGTAACAATTCATGAGTCTGATCTGGTGAGAGGTAGATGAAAGAGAGATATAGATAGAAAGCAAGCAAGCAGATGGGGAAGAACTCCTTAAAATAAGATGCCAAGTAATACATATACAAGGAATTTAAAAATCACAAATTAGTTAAAAATCATAAACTAGTAATTAGAGAGAGAACTGATTCAGGCATGAATCATTACTGGATACTATAAGGGGGAGGGAGGTGGAGGACATCTGATAACTAACAGACTAAATATATAGTCTCAAAGTACTTCAACATAAACACAAACATTACTTACTCCAAAAGAAAAATAATAATAACTATAGAGAACAAACAACATCTTAACTAATTAATCAAAATTATTATACACCATAAGGGCTTATAATACTATATACACACACGTATACGTACAGAAAGACAGTGAGGGAGGGAGGAAGAGAGAGAGAGAGAAATAAAGAAAATATGGCAAAATGCCAAAATTGGTGAATTTGGGTAAAAGGTATTCAGTGCATCATAACAATCTCAAAATTTTTCTTTAATGTTGAAATTAGTTGAGAATAACATGTTAAAAAAAAAAAAGAAAAGGTTGTAAGTAATAGAAGAGTCATATGTATACCATAAAAAGAGAAGTTATGGCTATATTAATATCTGATAAAGTAGACATTAAGACTATTCTAATTTTTAACACAGAGAAAGAGGCACATTTCATAAAATTAAAAGGATGAATAAAACAACAAGATATAACAATCCTAACTGTTATGAACTTAAAAACCTGTATTCAAAATATATGAAGCAAAATTTGAGAGGTCTAAAAGGAAAAACAAACAAATCTATGATCATAGTTGGATAGATTTAACACTCCTCAATAATTGACAGAAAAAGTAGACCAAAAAAAAAGGAAGAATATAGAAAATTTGTACAACACTATTAACAAACTTAATCTAACTGGCATTTAGAGAACACTACACTCAACAACTGCAGAGTGCACGCTCCATTCCAGTGCATATGCAACTTTGCTACAGTTGGATTTAAATTTACCATCTTGCTAGTTGTTTTCTATTTGTTCCACCTCTCCTATGTTCCTATTTTCCTCTCTTGTTGGCTGCTTTCAAATTGAGTGTTCTTTGTACGATTCCATTTTATCTGCACTATTGGCATATTAATTTCACCTGACTTTGAACATTTTTCCAGTGGTTACTCTAGGTCTTACAATATATGTCTTGAATATATCAGAATGTGTTTTCAAAAAATATTATATCACTTCATGTATAATGTAAAAACCTTAAACAGTATATCCAATTCCTCTCTCATATCCTTTGTCCTGTTACTGTCATACATTTACCTTTACTAGACATTGTTACTATTTCTGCTTTAGACAAGTAATTTTCTTTAGGAGCAATTAAAAATAGAGGGGTGATA